TTAAAAAGGCGAAGATTCTAAGTCGAAAACAAGGCAATAAAAAGTAAAAGCAAGTTCTTAGATTGAAAGACTACGATTGCCGTGGTGTCATAAAATTACTACTGCTACGAAACGAACGAGGAATTTCCAGACCCGCGTCTGGAAACGTACTAATCCCAATGACTTAACATAATGAATAATTAATTTTTTGATAAACAATTGCATTTCTTCATTTTTCCTGATGTTCAAGTTCCTTCCTTCATTTCTATGGTGTTCTGGAAGGTCCGTGTGTAATTCATACGAAAAGAATATTAATTTTTCTAATTTTTAATAAAAGTTGTAAACAATTTCAGACTAATTTACTGAATGTAATGGTTAATTCAATGCAAAATTAATATATTAAGCTGTTTTATTAAGTTAAAGCATGCAATAATTTAATTTAAGACTTCCAATAATTAGAAACAACCATCTAAATTGTTATGTAACAAGAATTATTCTATAATTAAAATACTTGAAAATAAACCAAAAACTTTATTTTACGATCTACATATCAGTAATGTTAAAGCAATTAAAAATTTAGTGTAAGTATTATTTATTTTGATCTGCTTAGTATGTGCAATTATGCTCTAATTTATAATAAATATTATTGAAAGCGAAAAATTCAAAGAATTCTTATTACATATACATACAGTCGAGTCTCTTTTTATGCGGTAGATACGTTCCAGAGAAAATCGCATATAAAAAATTGCACTAAAAAAAACATAGCTTACATGTACTACGCGTGCTATCCATATAGTATATGTATACGGGGAACTCCCGAATTTGCATGAAATATGCACACCGCATAACTTCAAAACCACATTAAAAAGATACGCATAAAAAACATGCATTAGAAATATTTACATAGTAGAGTCATCTGTTAGTTTTTGTTGAATTTATAACGCATGAACAATCATTGTTGATAGTTGATATCATAGGACTTGTTTTTGAATTTATTTTTGTATAAAAATAAACAGATAGGATTTATTATAATACACAAGGATTGTATTCATTAATTTTATTTATTTGGCATATAATTATTTTTTGCATTATCTTCCTTTTATTAATTGATTAAATAAAATTCAAACTTAATCCTTATCGTTTGCTATATGATTTCAGTAGTTCCTTAGAAAATTGGAAAAATGGAAAATGGAAAATCTAGCCTATGATATTTCGTTTATTTCTCAAATTTTTACTATGTATGTTCCAATATTCCGTCGCATGTTTAAATGATCATTCTAACGTTATCCTCGAGTCGTTGACTAGTTTAATCAGATAACACCTAAAGTTATTGATTAATTTCAGAACGCCGAAAAGCATGCGCGTTTTTCTTACATGTAAACGGTAAGAGGATGATGTTTTACAAAGTCTTGCGAGTCTTTTTCCATTTTTTTATGATCTTGTATTGCTGTGAATGTATGTCCGCTGAAACGTTAACAAGGAAAAATGAAAAACGAAACAGCCTCAGAAATAATTATCAGATGTGCCTCGACAGTTTTAAGATTCACGAAGATAAAATTATTCGAACGCAGGAGTCTCGCGAGATGGGTGCCAAGTATTTGAAAGAATTCGACGTGAATTCTAGGGAAGAATGTTTAAAATTTTGCTGTGATACAGACAATTGTGACGTGTTTATTTTTGAAGAAAAGGTATACATACATTTATTTGAAATAAAATAAAGAAATATCACTTTATTTGGTATTAACTCCTAGATCGTTTACATTCCACTAACAATAAATTAATCGTGTATCATACAGAAACCTGGAAGTTGTTATCTTTTCCAATGTGGCCCATTGCATGACTTTAAATGTAAATTTACCAGTCATGCAAATTATAGTAGTGCAGTGCGTACCAATTATAATACAAAAAGCAATTCACAATGGGAGGAGGAAGTTAGAATTTCTCAACAAGAGCATGAATTAAAATCTCTCAGGTAAAATTAGTTCTTCACTAATTTTTTAAATATGATAATGATCAACATTTCTTGTGTATAGAAAATTGGCAGATCCAGCACTAGCAGAATATTCTTTTACAGAACCTCCCATAAAATTAATTGCAACTTTGACACCAAAACTGTCATTAACAACATCTCCACCTATTAAACAAGGTATTTGTAAATAAAAATCTTGCAATCTATAATTGCACAAATAGAAAAAAACTAACATTTTTTTTGTGTATTAGTTTGTAGTAGGAATCAATATGAGTGTCGCTCATCTGGCGATTGCATAGCAGTGTACAATGTATGTGATGGTATTCCACAATGTGCAGATGGATCTGATGAAGCAGCAGATATAGTATGTCCTACAGAAAAACCAACAATTTCCCCTTCTATGATTCAAGGACCTCAACCACCCCCACCACCATTACCTGTTGATATCATAAAGTATCGACAAATGGTTGATCAGCGTAAACCTCTTGCTCCACTTTATGCTCATGTTCCAGAGGTTAATCCTTGGGAGTTACCTAATTTAGCTCATCAAATGATACCACAGCAACAGCCTCTTCTATATCCAGCACAACAGATGGAAGTACCTCAAATGCATAAAGATTTTGGTGCTCCAGGATACCAGTGGGATTATCAACCCCTGTATGACCAGAACAAGGACCTTTATAATCCTGTTAATTCTTTCCGTGAACAAAACAATTTGAATCCTTATGAACGTGAGTGAAACAATTTAGAAATATTTATAATATAAATGAAATGATAAAAT